GGACATGGGAGGCTGCATGCATCACAGCACGAACTAGCAGCTTGGCTCCTAGAAAGTTCGCTGCGGTCGAAGGCAGTGAGCTGACTGCTCATTCCGGCATGCGAAACGCGGAGCATTTCATCTTAGGTTGCAACAAAGAGTGAGCCAAGCTGCACATAGGCCACATTCTCGAAGCCTTGTGGCTCCGCAAGGTAGATGGCGCCGCTGCCTGCTATCCTACTCCAAACCGACTGGAGTGAAAGAGGCTTACGATGCTCACCTATTTGGCTTTGTTGCCGACCCCGGGTGTGTTTGGAACGGGATGGAAATCTGAAAGTGCATGGACAGACCGAAATTACACTTTGGATATAAATCTGTCCGCACCTGGATGCAGCACCCCAAGATGGAGGAGTCGGTCGATCAGCTGCTGGCCGGTCATCGCTTCGGCCTCGGAATCTCCTGGAGAGAGGCACTTCTCCTTAGCCGCCCTTAGAACCAGAACGACCTAGTTCTTATTTATCCCCTGGAGTTACCTTATAAGAAAACAAGACATAATTCCTAAGAGCAGCAAAGTCACGTAAACCAGGAGCCGGGGTTCTAAGCCTGCAACTTCCGGGGTCCATTCATCCCGGAGGACTCTTCCTAGCCAGTCCAAGACCCAGCTCACGTCTTCTTGGCATCTCACGATCACAACGTCGACCAATGGTCGGATAATCGATGCATCTTTCCCCAAGTCGTTGGGGCATTCTCTTTGACCTAAGACTGCACAGCTAAAGGCCTGTCGCCGGGCCTGCAAGATCTGCTGAAACTGATTCATGGCAGTATTCAAAGGCTCAAAAGAGCTGAAATGCGACAGCATCTCTGTCGCGGACTCCGGGGCCCCTTCACGGCTGTGCACTTCCCAAGTGTGCTGGAAATACTTCAGCAAGACAGCAGGAGGCACCAGCAGTGTCATGTACTCTGCATACATGTAGCTCGCCAGCAGCACCATTGCGGAACATTGAAGTTCCAGCATGTCGCTGCCGGACATCACATTGTTGTGCTTGGATGCAGGTACAGCCAACATCAAGGCAAGCAGCCATACATCTTCCATCGGGGGTTTGCTACCGGCATAGAATGCCAGAGCACGCTCTTGAAACTCAGTGCCGTCGAACGTCCACACGATGAGCTTTTCCGGGGTGTTCAGCTTTGGAACTTTTCCGCTCATGTTGACGGCGGCGAGGATCTCTTCGGCTCCCATTCCCATACCTGCAAGTGGTAAAAAGACACCTCCTTCGATGCTTGATTTGGGTGGCACGCGCATGAATCGCATTCCACAGACGAGCCGGGGAGTCAACCAGGAGTGATCCCACAACTGCACCTGGGTGTGTCCAGCATTCCACCATCTTTCGCGCTCTTCCGCCAGAGCCTCTTCCAATCCACCTGGAGGCTTCACAGCAGCGGATCTCTCAGTAGAGCCGTGGCCATTCGAGTTTGGTATGGTAAGCTAAAGCGAACCCTAAACCCTCCCCCCTCTTTTTCGCAGAATTGTTGCAAAGACGTGCCTTGAGCCTGAGCTAGTCCCCAAAGGGCTGGCAAAAAATGCCATGATGTCAGCCGCATCGTTGCCAGCGAGCATGGCCAGACGCTTGATGCTCAGCCGGCGTGTCTTTGGCCAGCATATGGGGGAGCCCTCTTAATATTAGGAATACCTTTCTAGGGAGTCCTTGGCATAAGGATCTTACTCTGTGGGATCTATATTTCAGTCCCACGGAAACTGCCGAATGACCGTTCTGCCCTCATGTCAACATCTAAGAAGCATGGCCAAGCTGCATGAGTGATCTTGTCACGACTGGTAGCTGCAGCAATCTATCCATGATGCTCCATGTCGTTCAGCTGCAAGCAAAAGCACGCCAAATACTCTTCAAGGGTACACCCCTACAGTAGATTGACATCTGGCAGCATGCAGTCGGCAACGTGCTGTCCAGAGTGCCTTTTCCCTTCCGAACAGGTTCTAAATACCTATGAGTGGAACGATGCGCCTTGGGCGACAGTTCGTTGCTCGTTATCACATGCACGTCTGCTGGACGAAGATGTTATGTTGCATCCACGCGTGTACTTCATGGTGATATGAATTGCGTTCAGGCAGCCGCGACCTCTTGAGTCCACATCTACCTCTAACGGTGATCTCGCTACTTTGTCAAAATCACCTTAGGCGCTGGGACCGAAGTCATCGTAGTCAACCCATTGGCCTCACGGAATTCATCGAAAACTCTATGCACCTTTGCAACAACCGCAACCTTGCAAGGAGCCTCCCACCAGTGCTGGGCCTGCCAGACTGTATCCTGCGCTCTCTGGCCATTTCGTCCTGGCGGTGGTGATGCCATTGAGGCGACCCCAACTGCACCGTCAGAGAACGAGATGCATGTCCGTTGGAGCTAAGCTGGAATCATGCTTTTCCGTCTGCAGGCACGAAGTCTGCAGTCAAAAATTTTCGCGGCTACTCGGAAGTACCCATGCTTCTTGCTTCGTTCAGGGGGCGCGGGGCGACAAGGTAAAGCTCCACCGTGTGGAGCGAGTTGGAAGCTTCTGAGGACGGATTCCCAGACACATTCCAGGCATGGCTCCTGACCCAGAAAAGCGTGGATAAGTTGAGCAACACCGCGTTCGCGCAAGCGGTCCAGTGCAGGGCCAACCGGGCCAAAGCATTGCTAAAGCACTGAACTCGAAGCTCCGCAGAACAACGAAGGCAACGAAGCAGCCGGTCAAGTGGACAGTGTGCTCGTTTTTGCACAGTGCACAGAGCCCTTCTGCTGGTTCACCTCACCAGCGCCAGGCACGTGCTTTGTCAGATGCTTCTCACATCGACGTTCATCTGCAAGTTGGGGGCATCGCGCGTCAATCTGTTCATGCGGGCGAGAATCATGATCTTTGGGAGCGTGCAGTTGGCCAACAAAGACAGGTTGCGGACAGTACGGGCACATTGCTTCATACCTAATCGACCGCACCGCTTGGTTATACAAGTTCTTGGTTTTGGCTCTGATCCTTGGTCTGTTCTTCTTTGTGTCATCACACACGGCCAACGATTCACGCAAAGAGCACACGTTCGCCTGCAGCAATGCGTCACACCCTGCATCCCAAAACGAAACTCTTTCAAAGGCCTCAACCCCACACACCACCCCGTGAGAAGGATCGGGAGCATCTTAATCCCTAACACCCCACGCGCAGTCCCCTTGGCGAAGCCGTGCAGCTTTCGAGGAACCGTGAGCGGGAGCCTGGCAACCCAAAAAGAACATCTGGATCACTTACACTAAGAATAATGTGTATTCAGGCACGTATGTATATACATATATATATATATATATACACATGCCGAACTCCCCAAGGATCTATCATTTCCCTTCCCAATGGACCGACCACGCAGCCTGCGGTGTACTCTCTTGGCCAATGCAGGCTGAAGCGTATAGAAGGACACCGAGCATACATTTGTTTCGAGAAAACATACGAGGTCTCACATACGTACAGTCACAGCGGCCTTTGACGCCCGAATGCAGGAGTTACCGGTACCATATCCTCTATCTCGGGCTCGAGTATTACTTGCATCTGTTGTTGTTTTTGTTAGAGTTTTGAACAAACAGCTCCAGATTCGCGGCTCTGGTTCTTGTCGCTTAATGTGCTCCAGCTGCTGCTACTACTACTGCTACTATTACTACGACGACGACGACGACTACTACTACTACGATGACTACTACTACTACTCCTCCTCCTACTACTACTACTACGACGACGACTACTACTACGACTACGACTTTCGACTGCGACTGCGACTACGACTACGACTACGACTACTACTACTACTACTACCACCACTACCACTACCACTACCACTACCAC